ATAATAACAATAACATCACTGGCACAACAACAGGCAGGAAGATGATACATGCAGAAGCAGCGACAAACAGCTAATCATCTGACTTAGAGTTCTTATTAAAATGTCAGCCCATGGGCATGTGACAAACTCCACATTCTGAGTTCACGTGCTAGAGGGAGGGACTGGAAATGGGCTTGGCTAATTTTTCTGCTCTGGACTGCCAGCACAAAGTGGTCCATGGAGTGGCAGAACAATATCCTCTTAGTGTATGGCTGTGTCTGCAGCTCATGTAGGCAGAGGTTCACTTTAAAAGGGATTCGCCAACCCATTACCAGTGCAGTAGCCTTAGAAGCAGGAGAATCTTGGGGCAGGGTTTGCAGCCCGTGCTGTTGCACAGAGTGGTCCAGGGGCACTGCTAGGAGCTCAGCAGTGCACTACTGTGAAGTGAAGCTAGGTTAGGTATCTCTACACAACTGGCTAAAATTATGTGAATTAAGGATAAAAATATCTGTTATTTGCCCTGTGTTTCTTGGAAATGTCATCTAGGTGGGTGTCTCTTGGGAACCCCTTGGAGCTACTGTTCAGCTAGCTGTAACTCTGGATTCCCCTGGATATTTCTTTCATTAGTACCTGCCCTTGGGTACTTATTCCATTTGTAACTGCAAAAACTGACTTTTTTTTTTTTTTTTAATCTTTATGTAGTTTCAGATATCAAAGTGTCTTTTGTCAGAAAACTCCTACTTTGTAGTCTGAATGGTGATTAAACCACAGAGTGTGTACCTGAAGTCACTTGTGATTCTGCTGTGTTTGATGTTCGTTCACGGTACAGTCCTTGCCTGGTGTCTCTCCTGAACCACTCGTGACTGGTCACCAGTTTCACTTGACACTGGATCTATGTCTCAGAGGCAGTATGGGCACATTGGCCCTGGGTGAGGGCACAGGGTTCATCACTCCCAGTAAACAATGGCTAATTGTGTAGATGTTTTCCTTTCCTCTAGGAAATGTCTCTGTATTGTCTATGCTGAACTCCTGCCTCACTGCTTTATTTTTTACAGCTTCTTATTTTTCACAAAAAAAAGCTGCTCATTCCTCCCAAACTGATTGCATGGCCCAAGTTGCTTAAATGCATACAAATTATGTTATGAAAAGATTAAGGAAAACATCTTGGTGTGTGGTGAAAAGTGGCAGTAAAGGACAAAACCCCAATCTGAATAACACAAGTCTGAGAGCCCTTCGTTCCAGCCGTGGGTTTGGAGTGGCCTATTGGGACAGGTATCATTGCTACTTACAGTTATGGGAAAAAAAAGGAGCAACGAAACAGTGGGGCAAGTGGGGTGTTTCTGAAGACCAGTCTTTCTCAAGCATCACATATTCTAGGGGAACCTAAGGCTAGCATCAACAACTCCTTTGCAGCACCTCGTGTCCTTGTACTGTTGTTGTTGTTCCAGCCCAAATTACTCCATGTGCAGGCTAAAGGTAGCCAGGAGAAGCTGGTTACTCTTTCTCCTTTGAGATCACTTGTCCTGTGCTTGCTTGGATCCCACCCTTTTCCCAGTGTTTGGTCAAGGTTTGAGTGAACACGCGAACCAAAGCCGAGCCAAGAGCCAGTGACTTGGTTATGATATAGTTATCTTCAGTACTTTGTGCATCATTTTCCCCGCCGAGCCAAGAGCCAGTGACTTGGTTATGATACTTTGTGCATCATTTTCCCCATCTACAGATGGAATACTAAGGCTTGTCTGATGCATAGGCAGCGTGACAACATGGGTAAAGTCTGCAAAGGGCATGGGGATCTTTGGATGCAGATACTTAATTATTCATAACTAAAAAGAATTGCTTTTGTTGGTATTCCTTCCCTTGTTGTGCAGGATATTGGATTGCTCTGCGGAAAATAAGTACTCCAGTGCAGCCAACTTGACACCAGTGGCTGTACACAGCAGCTGAACAAACCCTAAAATTATTTAATGATTAACAGAAACCTTTTATTTTTTTCCCAATGTATATTATTCTGCATTTGTGAGAAATTCATGTCCCTATTGCTCTTAAGCATGAGGAAAAGAGTTGCTACTTCAGCATTTGGAGAAATGTTGCATGTAAACATTAGTTCGTTATGTTTAATAATATTTAATATTTAATTTTCAATCTGAAAGCATAGAAGATTTCAAAATGCTTCTTGGCTGATGTAATACCACACACAAAGTGTGTTCAATGTCTAGACTCAACAGTGAGATGCAACCACCATTAATGGAGTAAAAAAACCAGCTGAATACTGAGGCAGTACCAAGTAGCTTTTTATCTCAGTAAATAAATAAAGTTGCTGTATTTTTAGGCGTGTGGTCCTGCTTTTTCACAAAGTACATGTGATCTTTATTGACTCTGTCCTTATTTTTAGATTGTTTGTGAGAACATCTTTGAACCATAGCAGATCTGAGGATGGGAGTAAAATGTTTCCAGTCACTGACACCTGGTCTTTGCTTTCATACACCACCTTCTATGGTTAGATAGTCTGTCTGTAGATCTGCTTCTGGTTTTTGTTTGTTTTAATCTGGTGTTTTATCATGTCTTATGGGCTCTGAATGGCAAATTCCTTGCAAGAGTTAGAAATAATTTCTCTGAAGTTGCTCATCTGAAGTCAGTTCAGTAGGAAACAATCCCTGAGCAAGTGAGGTTATATCTATCAGTATTGTCACTTGAAATATTTTTGGTGTCTTGCCAGTGGAAAAAAAAATGGAGGGTACCTGCTGTAGCACCTAACAAATAAGAGTGAGCCAAGCAAAGAAGGATGTGAGCAGGCGGGAAGGGACAGGAGAGTTAGACAATAGGGGCTCTGGCCAAGGGAAATACGCTGAAATCAGCAGGTAATTCCCAGCTCTGGTTATACGGGACCTGTAACTTTTCCCCTTGAAACTGAGAAAGCAGAGGTGGTTTGAGGCAGAGGAGGAGAAAACGATTAATTTTAAACCTTCCCTTTTTATTGAACATCTTAGAATTAAAAAAAAAAAAAACCCAACAGTGCAGTTATTACTGCAAATTGTTACAAACTGCACATTCCTGTTTGTCCGGGCAGGAGTGCTGCCCCGTGGAGCAGGGCTGCCATCTCGTGTTAGATACCCACAGGGCTCCGGGCTGGGAGGCAGGAGGAGAGGGCTGGAGGTGGTGAAGGAACGGTATGTTCCCCCTGGAAACGATTGTGGAGGCTTCCAGGAAGTTTCTGGGCTTGATAGTGCTTGACACATGTTCAGCAGATCCAAATATCTCTGCCCGCTTCAGGCTTTTACTGTGGAGTAAACAAGAGTTTTCCAGGAAATGTTCTGCTGCTTAGTGGAGAGGTCAGGCTTGAACTGGACTTCAGAGAGCAGCTGATGAAATAGATCACTCTAGTAGATGTTCCACTAACTTTATTATTTCAAGCATGCTGTATACCAGAAGAGACATAGCCTTATATGTCACTTACTCATTTATTCCATTCCAGTTTATCACTCATTCATGGTACAATCAGGTAATAACTAGGCAATTCAGGAAGAAGCTTGTGACCTAGGAAATCAAGACCCTCATTAAATTCCCTTGGATTCAAAATCCTGTGACTGAGCAAGGTCTGGAACATCATCAAAGGTGTTTTGGTCATTCAGTTCTGCTTTACGCTATCCCTGAAGCTATTTTATCAACCTTTTCTAGAGTCTGACATGGCTGTAATCTCAAGAGCAGTTATGTTCCTAAACATATCTGGAGACCTGGTCCTTGTTCTGCTTATCCACAAAATAAACATACTTTCTGTATTTTCATAGGAGCATTGTGAAGATCAGTGTATTAAGGACAGTGAGAATTTGGGTACTCCAGTAGGAAGGGCCATGCAGGCACTTCAGAAAGATGGGATATCTGTGACCTGTGCATTCATACCAACTTTAACATATACATGTAATTCATTCATGGCATCTTATCATCTGGTATGGATGTCCTTCTGCTCTAATGTTTTCTGTTGCTGAACCTGGGGTAGAGACAATACTGATGTAGTTCAGCAGTCACTTTCTCATGAGTACCTAGTCCAAGAAAACATTTTACAGATGGTCCATAGCTGTGTTCATCCAAACATTTTGATTAATATCTCTGGAGGATTCAACATATTTGTATTGATCAGGACAGACTCACAAATTATTTCCATCTGAGAAATGGCTTAAATGTTTTAAATGGTTTTACTTAGTTTGATCTACTTTTGACAGCAACATTAAGAATAATTAATAAATGATAGAATGTGAATGTAACTAAAATATGATTGCACTTTATTTCAGGGAGTAGTGTTCCTGCTCCTCCCTTGTTTGATCTGTTTTTTTAAATTCAAATACAAGAGCTTGTGACTGCTATTTCAGAATTGCTATATAGCATATTCAGAACCAGTCTGTATTAATTCTCTATATCCTGTAGGGCATTTAGGGCACTATACTGCACATACTATACTATCTTTTGCTTACATGCAGATTTGCAGATTACACAGCTCCTTTTTTGTTTTTTCCTTTTTTTTTTTTTTAATTTCCTTTTTTTTCCTGAAATTTACTATAAATGGTTGGCACTTCTGAGAAGTTTGGTGTTATTATTGGGTATTAAGACCTTCTCATATGTCTTTCTTTTTCCTGTTGTGAAAAACTCTTTGCCATACTCAGGAAGCTTAGGCTGGAGGCAAGCAGAATGAGATAGCATCTGCAATCTCCCTGCAGCTTACTAGCCTGCAAAGTGGCTCAGCACCTCCATCCTGCTGCCTGCTTGTTTATGCAAAGGATGATACTAGTGACGTAGTGATATGTGTGTGTATAATAAATGGACACAGGGAAGGCCAATTGTCCATTAGCTCAAGGAGGTGTCAACAGGAGCTGTCAAAATATGCTGGATCTGCAACTATTTTAGTCTCTTTTTTTTTCCCCTTTCTCATTAGACTAAGGACGTTAATCTGATATTCCTAACCCCACTCAGAAGAATTAGTCTCTGCACGTAACTATTCTGTGTTATGTGCCATTCAGTAAAAATGGGCGCTAGTGTCCTGGGAAGGCTGGCTGGGCATCCTTGCCCTCGGCAGATGCCTGCAGTTTTTCCTCCGGCACTGGATCCAGGTCTGGCACTTTCTGCCCTGCCTTGGCGACTGTGAATCTGCTCATGTGCAGAGCTTCTTCGTAGACTGGAGGAGTGTCTGATGCTGGGAGGGGTGGTGTTCCCTGCCCGGCGTTATGGGAGTGTGCCACTGCTAATATCCTCCTGGCAGCAGGCCCAAACACGGAATGGAGAGCTGAAAGGCAGGAGACAAAAGCTGTTTGCCTCATCCTGAAAGCACGATGCAATTAGAAGAGGACAAGTGTATCTGCAGCACACAGGGTTTTCTCTCCTCACAGCTTGAATGTTTTCCTTTTCCTCCCTCTTCATCCTTCCCTAAAAAGGGGGGGGTGTGAAATCCCATCAGCAACATCCCACAATTACTCCTTCCTCATATGCCACCAGGGCCCATAGCTGCCCTAATTCCACCCAAACATGTCTCACAACTGATTCACCATCTGGTGGCATTTGCTACACGAAGCCTGGTGAGCACCTTAATCTGTGCTACGTACAGATGCTGCTTTCCTCGCATCCTGCCATGAACTTCCCCCTGCCAGCCTTGGGGTGCTGCAATCTGGGCTTTTTACAGTGCAGACCCTCACGCTGGGCTGTACTGATGTCCCCAGCCTCTGTCAAAGCCAACTCACAGGTAATGGTGCTCTGGAGGGTGCTGTCATGATCAAAAGCAATGACGGTGACCTCGTAGGGCTGAGGACCTGATTCCTCCCCTCTCTGGCGGCAATGAAAACAGCATCTCACGCAGACAGAAACCAGGCCACACAGGAGCAGCAGCCCACCGATCACCACCACCAGCCTGGAAAGGGAGAGGACACAGAATGAGGACAGCAAGGCTTTGTTTGCAGGGCACCTTTTAAGGTCTCTTCCTGCTTGAAGTAGGACTAACCTCAAAGCTAGACATGGTCATTTGGAGCCTTGTCCAGCAAAGTTTAGACAGTCCCCAGCGATGGAGATCCCATGTCCCCTCTGGGCACCTGTTCCAGTGCTTCACCACCCTTGGGGGAAGTATTTTTTCCTTCTGTCTAATCAGAATTTGCCTGGATGCAGCTTGGCCAGTTGCCTCAGGGCCTACTGCTGAGCACCTCTGGGAAGACTCTGGTTCTATTTCTCTCTAGATCCACTTCAGGTAGTAGAAAACTGCCATTGGGTTGCCCCCCAGGCCTCCTCCAGGCTGAACAAACCTGGTCCTTTCAGCCCCTCCTCATACTTCGTGTCCTCTGGACTCCTGACCATTTTACTGGCTCTCCAGTGGACTTACTCCAGTTTGTCAGCATCTCTCTTGTACTAAGGGACCAAGACTGGACTACATATTCCAGATGTGTCCTCATGAGTGACAAGCAGAGAGGAAAAATTGTGTCTCTTAAGGTACTGGCTGTATTATTAATGCAGCCTTGTAGATGTCCAACAGCTACCATCCTTTTCAGTCTTGTCCTGTTGAGAATTACTAAGGAATCATACTGAAATTACTTTAAAAATGTGCATTTCAAAAGGCATATTGTGCCATTAATGCTTTATTAATGTTGTTCACCTGACTAAATTAATATGTGGAATAAAAAAGGAGGCTGGTAAAAAGGCTTTGTTAAAGACGATGTGATAGCTAAGGGGTTGCCTTACTACTGTAGAGCATTAGTGTCCTAAGGGAAAGCAGGGGTGGCATCACACTTGAGTGGGTCACATTTAATCCCACTCTTTGCTACTGGAATTGTCCAGTGATGCAGATATTTAAAGTAAACATATGCCGTCTTACCAGATGTACCACAAATGGTCCCACTCCGTACCTGAACAGCTGAGGAGAAGAGGGCACAACATGTAGTTAGCCACAGAATGCCAAATAAATGGGAAGATCCCTCCTGTACCTGAGGGATCTGCATCATATTATAATTTCTGAACTTTCTTTCTTTTATATATATTTTTTCACAATTTAGTCTGCCCAACCGTGTTATCTCTTGCTTTGTTTTTCTCTGACTTTGTCTTTGATTTCTTTCTGGCCCTGTGGGTACATTTTGGATGCTGTGTGGTATGTTCCTTTAGTTTTAGTTAGTAGATTTGCCTGTGCATTTTTAAAGACTTTTTTTTAGTAAAAAAAATCCTCCTAGGCAATTTTTCACATTTGTTTTGTCTTGATTTCTGTTATTCTTACAAATGACATCACCAAGAGGAATATTCACCAAAGCACTATATTTCAAATCATTTTTCAAGGAAAAGTAAATTCAAAATTTATAATCTCAGCCAATCAAAATCACACCAGAAAGCTCTTAACCAGTTGCCCAAATAGGTAGCAGGAACAATACCATATGATCAATATGTTGAATAGATAGTAAAAAATACAGTTCACATTCAAAGCAATGGAAATTTTATCTGAGTTTTCAATAGCTGCAGTTAAAGTAAGCTTTTCTGGAAAATGTCAGCTACCATGTCATAACACTGGTGTCCACTACTGCCTTTGTCCTTCATTGTCTTCTTAATGGAGAGCAAGATTAACAAATACTCACAGTTCAGTGTTGAGACAGCCTTCCTCACCTGTCACTTGGGGGAACTAGAAGGAGAAAACCAAACAAGACACAGCTAGAGTGAATTAAGTCTTTGTCATATGCAGCTTTTATCTGTCACCTGGACTATTACCAGTCTGAATCTCCTATGGTAAGGAGATTATCTGTAACCTGTTATCTATCTTCTATTGTTTCCATCATATATTCTGCTGTAGATTTGAAGTTATTGTGATGCCAACTGCATTGTTTCCTATCTTAACCTCCCCTAGTCATTAAAATCGTACTTAACACTGTTCCCAGCCCAGACCCCGACTTACCTTCACCCTCACCACAGGTCTCCCTTTCCCCTTTCCCATAAGCTAGGTTATGCTACAGATGTGGATCCTTTTGCATGCTCAAATATTAAGAACCTTTAAATGTCCTCCTTCATGTTATACCCACATTGACTCAAATTCTGCTCTGTCCCTCCAGCACTCCTACCCTTCTCATTCCTTTTCCTTGGGTAACCAGACTTCTGTGTTACTATCCCTGGAATAGCAGCAAACAGTCTTCTCTTCTGTGTGTGTACCTTTTATATGTCCAGTTGTTTCTAATATCACAGAAATTATTGTGACTGTCAATTGCTAATGCCCCTCCATCTTTCCAAGGTAACTCCACATCTGAGCAGAGACCCCATGAAAAGGAAACTGAGATATGACTTACCCATAAGAAACACCCTAAAACAAAGCGTATCATGAATGGGCTATGCATCCCCATAGGGTGTTTGTGAGGCCTCTTGGTGTCTCAAGATGCTTGATGTCTTCTTGTCCTTTCTTGTTTCAGTTCATCCTTACCAGTCCACGGACCAGGAGAAGGAGCAGATTCCTTGTTGTGTGTTGAATACAATCTCTTCTTCCTGCTCTACCTTTTTCTGTCCTCTTCTGGGTCTATCCTTTTTCTCTGCCCTTCAGGTATTTGCTTTCTCTTCCCCTCTTTGTCAGCTCCTGGCAACTCCTGTTTGTTTCTGCCTGTCTCCTTTTGTTATTCTCTTGGCGTGCTTCTCTCCCTCTTTTGAAGGGATCTCTAAAGCCTTCCAGTCAGATCAGGAGAAAAGCAGTGGCTGCAAGTTCTTACTTTAGATGTTGAACTAGTTCAGTGAAGGGCATAATGAGATCTCTGCAGACCTGACCCTTCCATTCTGTGAGCAGAAAGGGTCTCTGAGTTTGTTCATTCCCAATTATTCCTGTCCCCGCCCCTGCCCTGAGGGCAGGTGGGTTGAAGGTCATGTTATTGACCTGTTTAAATGGAGTTCAGATTCCTCTCCCTCCTCCAGTACCTTTTCTGCTCTTGCACTCACATTGTCTATTGACTTTAGCCATATGATCAGCATCCAGAGTGTACGTTACAAATGAGATGCTCCT